GCTATACATACTGGACCAATTACTAGAACTCGCGCACGCCAACTAAATTACCAGGTACTTTTGTTTCTTGGTAATGATTCTAATGTTCATGAGAATATGATGCTGCCTAAATTGGATACATTTGTTTTGCTTACAAATGAAGGGCCTAGCTTGGAGAAGGATGAACGTTGGAGCAAGAACAAGCATGGAGATGATGGCATGCGCAAGGGGAACAAGAACGGAGTTACAAGTGATGATTTCAGGACTTTGAAGCCACCATAATGGGTGCATGAAGCCTTGGACGAAATATACAAGATGCCACTTCATAAATTTCGTCCCGATGCTATTATAGGTGCTGCGTCACCTTATTATTGGGTCAGGCCCATGTAATTTCGAAATACATAAGTATAGGCTATTTTTAGAGTCCGTATGTGTGGGGAAACAAGAGATAGGGTTGATTTCGGACCCCTCCACGAAGGGCCACGAAATTCCCCCCTCTCCCTCCATATATACAGCCCTTAGGGCATCGTTTAGACTTTGGGTTTTGTTTAGATTAAAAGTTCGCCATAGCTACAACTTCGCGTACTTCGTTTGTGTTCAACGACCAGACAAAGGCGTCACAGAACCCCGCCTTGATCAATAAAGCTTTCATCTTATATTCGCAATATCCAGATTGCAATCTCAGTTTCTTGCTTGTTCTTCGTTTGCCTGCAGGAAACAAACCTTCGTGGTCAGGTTGATCGTGCTCCGGCGTGGTCAATAACCTCTCGGAGTTGGTTTAGCGATTACTAAGGCGCGACGTCCTCGCACGTTCGTAGTCGGATTGTCAAAGTCGACTTCCACCAAAGCGATATCCATCATCTCATCGAAAGACGGGACACCTTTGCCTCTATCAAGCGAAGCGAAGCGAAGCGGCGCGGCGGGCGGCGGAGGAGGAGCGCGCGTGGATATCCCTCTTGTTCTCATGCTCATACAAGTGGGGAAGGAGCCTCCCTTATAAAGAGGTCCAACTCCCTCTAAACTAGCAAGGTGGGACTAAACTTTAGTTCCACCTCTTGCCTTGCACGAATGGGCTGCGTGGGCCTATAGGATTTATTAGGAATTTTTGAAACTACTATTGGGCTAGGCCCAAATACACAAAATTCCAGCAGGTCCATCAGCTTGTCCTGTGGAAAGATTTTAGTCCATCAGTTTGAGAAATGTACTGCACTAGTCCTCAAACTAGCAATCGGGTTTTCAAAAGAGACAGGCCTTTCAACATCGGGGTGCCCGTACAAGTGGTGCTGTCCATTTGCCAAAATAAAAGCACCGTGCATGTTTTTTTATCTCATATCAATACTTACTTGTAAATGATATCACTACTATGATCTGATGAATAAAGTATTCTATCTGTCCAAAAAATAAAGGGTCCCTTCATCGCCAATTTAGATGAGAAATTAGTTATTGCACATCTAAGTGATGTCATATTTATTTTTATTGTCCCTAATCCACTTCTCCACCATTCTCATTCTTGTTGTGTTCGGTTTTTTAGGCAAACTCGCTAGCTTTATTAAAACGTCACAATATTTGCATGGACGAATAAAAAATCACCGGGTGTCCTAATCGAGCACGGCGGCCGATCCCTAAAGAAAGTGTTGCTTTGCGAGATTGTGATCTTTGGCATTCGAGGTCTTATACTCACTAGATGACTCGTCGCGCTAATTGGCGCAGAAACCAACCGCAAGCCGGAAGTGAAGAAAACTACTTGTATAATTTTTTTCTCAACTATCTGCAAATGATTATGCTCACACCGCTCTCTTATTTTCCTTAATGGTGATCATTGCCCATAGCTTTCCTTGCCGATTTACTTTTGATGGAAGCTGGTTGCCCCGTCGTGCTATAACAGTGTTTCCAACTGGGGTCGCCCTAGCGGACCCGTCCTATTTTGAGCAGCTTTGGCTCAACGAATCGTCGCTTCGGTCTGGGCAGTGGCCTAACCGCCCTTGCTAGCCATACATGACTTGGTCATTTGCGGCAGGTCCGCACCATATGTCATTGTCGTGATCATTGATAGTACAGATGACCCGTTGCGCCAAGGGCACACGGACCAAGTGCAGCCTGAAAGTCGATGGTTCCTCATCAAGTGAATTCCGGTTTTTACCCTCTATTTTGACATTTTTGACACTAATCACCCCATTTAGTAGGATTTTATCCATAGTACCCCATTTAGCAAAAGTTGTTACCACAATTTACCCCATGGTAGCAAATATGTGGACCGGTAGAGAGTGAGTATATGTTTCCTGGGCTGCTCTGGTGCGATCATATCGAGCCTAGCCCGTCGGAAGAAGCTAGGGCGATGAGGTTCGGCGTGCAGAAAAAGCATCAAGAAAAAACCCGCCGATGTGGCATCCAGCTAGGCCTTACAATTAGGACCCGTCGGTCAGAACACTCATAAATTTTAAACAGGGTAAATTGTGGTAGCACTTTTGCTAAATAAGGTAAAATGAATGAAATTCCGTTAAATAGGATAATTAGTGTCAAAACTGTCAAAATAGAGGGTAAAAACCAGAATTCACTCTTCCTCGTCACATAACACTTCTGTTCACAGCCATGACCCCACGACCCACCAAGCATAGCAAGTTCCTCTCTGTTTTCCCTCTACATCTCGCTGGGGATATCCGATTTGGACCTACGGGACACCGAAGGGCGCGTGTCTGGGAATAATCACCCGACTACACTTAGCCGCTATATCCCTGCACAACAACATGCTTTGCGGTACTCCGCGGCTGGCAGAGAGACAGTTGGGCGTACGTGATGTCAGCATGCCCTTGGTTTTTTCAGTTAGCACCTGATAATTATTCATCACTCAGCCTCGTATTTAGCGGCCAGTCGTTGGTATTTGCTCTAGAGGGAGGCCTATCTTTTAATAAAAAAAGATAACAAAAGATAAAGTTGCACTTGGGTTTTGCCCCGAGGGCACAACGGGGCACATACGTGGTTGATTTCGAAGGGTTCCACTCTCTAGATCCGATGGTTGATTTCACCTGGGAAAATCAAACTATGGACGACGGCTTGACGCGGAGGGATGGTTGTGCAGTGATAGCAGTTACACATCACATGTAACTATTGGGTCAAGGGTCACGAAAAAGTGGTGGCGACAAGACACAAGTGACATCGATGAAGCAATCGGTCTCGAGCTCTGGGGTGAAAGCTTAGGCCTGGCCCGAGTTGATTATACCTGACAATGATGATTTATTTACGTTGTTATCTTCTTGAAGGCATTGCTCGGATATGCTCGGGCTGATTTTTCTAGATGAAAACTTAGATTCTGGCTTTCGATGATTGGATCCGACGTCGGCGGTGCTTGAGCGTTGCTCCCTTCCTGAAGGCATTGTTGTTGAAGTAAACCCCGTCGTTATGTGGTGGCATCATATGGTTGGTGCAGATATGATCAATGATGTAATTTGTCGATCGCGGATCTATTTGCTTTGTAGTTTATTTTCCTTGCCTACACATAGTTTTGGTCTTATATGTCTTTGATATTTTGGGGTGTGTATTTTGTGGGAGTGCATTGGTGTTGCCTGTATGCATCTATGCAGAGCTCAGGTGTGATCCCACTGTGTTTGTATCCTCATTTATACTTCATTTTGAGCCAATAAATCCAATCTTTGTCAAAAAAAGATTGCATCAGGATCCAGGAGTCATTCTTTGATGCACATGTTTACCGGTCGAGGTACAATGCCCCTAACTGGCCAAAATTCACAAGAAAAGTAGACTACAGTGGGCAATCTGGTGTGGGCATGCCAAAATAATTGGCATTAATACAAACAAACGGCAAATTTTTGGGGCATGGCTGGTTTTGGTCATCAAACAAAAACGGTTCAAAACTCCCATTTTGTTATGAGGTAATTTTGATCGGGGAGGCATATATAGCCATCGCCTTATCAATCGAAAATGTTGTTTGGAGGCCGAGCTCCATGTAGCTCGCTATCCTAGTCGTCAGGAATCGCATCCTGCTGCTGCAGCCTGTCATTAATGTCATGTATTCCAGCTCACAGCTATATGCCCCACACCGTATTATGTATTTTTCTAAAGTAGCGTCCCATGTCGTCCAGAGCTCGCTGGCAGGCTAGCTAGACGTGCGAATCCATTTACCCATCATGTCTCTGCAGTGCTAGCGAGCTCACACACAGTGGCGTAGCCAGACCAATACTCCAGGGTGGTCAATTGATGAAAATATTTAAATATATTTATTTAGTTTCAAAGAAATATTTCTTTACTACACTATATACAAGTTATGGGGAAATTCCAGGGTGGTCCACGGACCACCCTGGCCACCCCCTAGCTACGCCACTGCTCACACACACTGATGAACATGGGCACGCGCGGGCTCTCATGTTCACAGAGGCTGCTAGCCGGTCTACCCAACCAACTGGAATCCGAACGTTGGTGTTTACGGTCAGACCATTTTGGGAATCCAACCGTTTGGAACTCATCTATTTATACCGCAGAAAAACAGCAGTGGCCGTGTCCATTTCAGCACAGCCAAAGCTTCCGACTCTTCTGAACCTCTCCCCATAACCGTAGTCATGGACTCATGGCGTCTTCTTATTGGTCAGCTCATTCTAGAGACTGTTTCTAATGACAAAGTGAGACATAGCCAAATGCATATCACCAGTAAACAACACTGAAATTAAGTTTTTTCAGACTTTAGTCGGGTTGCTGCATGTGTTCCTGTGCTCTGTTAACCCACATTTTGAGCAGCGAGGAGATTTCCTAGGTGCCTTTGGCACATCCCCCGAGCAAGGCATGTTGTGCTCTTGTGTCCCTGAACTCCGCGTACATAACATAATCTACTCATCTTTGATGGTTCCTTGTATGGAGCTTTGTCGCGGCTAGATGTGGGACGCCCAGCCGGTCGTTTCCTTGACGGCGCCGGGAACACATCTGATCCTTGCGAAATGGTGTGCTCGGACTCAGTTCGGCCAAAGTGTTGCTTGTTACCAACGCCAGAGCAGGCTGAATCTGTAGCCAACTCTATATCAGACAAACCAAGCCCATCCCTCAGCGGCAATTGGCTCGACCAGCACTTTGACATCTCGCATTTTCTCCATAACAAGTACACATGCTTCCACATTGCTGTCGCCTAACTTAATGGTATCAAGCACTAGAAGGTACAAAGTGTTGCGTCGACTAGAAGAATACTTCAGCGGTCCATGATCCTTTTGGTAGCGCAGATACTCTGGCGATAGTATATCTCTTGCATCTGTAGCCCATCGCTTGAGCACATGCTTCGCAGGGAGCTCATGCAATTTCAGGTGTATCATGACCTGAACATTAGCAGTCAAAAAATACATCAATTTTTTAGTGATTTTCATCCATGCCCATCTAGAGAAAGTGATTGTAAGTAAGGAAGAGGATCTGGGGCGCCTAGGCTGCAAACCATTCCATAGTGCTCGAATGTCCCACACTCGCACTTGAACTCATCAGCTGACTCGCTCACGGAGATCACAAACTCATTCTTGCACCACTTTTCCCTCGACTGAAATTTGATGTGCCTAGCAATGTACTCCAAACCCGGCTTGACTTTTACTAGATCATACAACCCACGTTCATACAGCACTTTACCAAAATTTTCAAACATTGTCCTGGTATAAACCTGCGATGCATGTACCTCATTTGGGATATTTTGCTTCAGGACAACCGCATCAAAATGAAATCAGTTTCCATAAGCATCTTCTTATTGTAACAACAGCAATGCAACATCACCCAAATACGCAGAGACATATTCGAACTTACTAGTTTTGTCCTTTTCTCTTGGTAACTTTCTTCTGAGTCACGGTCAAATTGCATTTTTCTCATACTGCCTGATGAACAAGTGCATGGGGCACCCTAGTGGTACATACCCTTTCAGTAGGTGGTTTGCACTCTCGCTTCTCTGCCAGTACAATCTCCTGCATGCATTTTTTCCGGTGTACATTCAGACGGTCTCCCAGGAATACATATTGTAAAACTCGTATCCTTCTTCGACAGAATCAAACTAGTCCCAATCGATGGATTGACAACCTTTCCTGATTTTTTATCGACATATGCACGGACAGAAGCTTCGAGGGCAGACATCCTTGAAGGGCTCGGCTCCCTCTCATCCTCTGCCTTCCCAACTCTGACCCTGCAAGCAATGGCACACCAAGTAGTCAGAAATCAAGTTCAACGAGGAACAACAAATTAAGTGGTGACGATGGTTTTTACTTCCCAATACATGAAACGGGGGATGGATACGGTGCTCCAAAACACTTGGTGTTATACATAAAAAATCAACGAATAGTCATGGGATAATAATTACCGAACATGTTTATGTGGCTATACAATTATCAGAACAGATTCAGAAAATCTTCATTTCAACAAACAAAAAAACGGCAGATGGCGGTGTCCATCCAGTGTGCAAAAATCATCCATTTTTATGAACTGATGCATTAGCCATGACATAACATGTTTTTTCTTTTTAATCTAAATATGATCGTTCCTATTGCGCTGCCCTCCCATGTTGCTACTACAATATAGTTTATTTTTTCAGGTTTTTGCAATGCTCATACTGGTTACTAATTTCAGTTTGGATGAATAGCATTTTGAACAAAACTATCAGCAAAAATTGAGAAGCATATATTTGAGGAAAAAATCACCAACAAAAAACGAAACTGTTTCATGCTGATAAATAACAATATCACCTCCTGGTCCAAGAAGATTGACTAGCATTGGTTACTCCCACGCCCTCGTCGTCTGCATCCTGGTCCGCGACATCAGACGAAATATTTGAATCGCCTATCTCGCAGGAATCACCCATCCCTTCGCCGCCAAGATCATACGAGCCGCAGACCTCCCTCCCAGTGCGCACTGTTTCACCAATATCCTCGCCCCCTTCGTAATCCATGCGGCTTCCAGCTAGTCCTATCGGCACAGAAGAAATCAGGTCCTCCTTCGCATCGCCAGTTCCATTCGTGTCACCCTCAACTAGTTGTGCGCCGGCAACTTGATCTCTTAAGACAACTCCGGCATCAAAACGCGGTACAAGCCTGCACAGAGAAACGAGAACCACCCAGATCTGAGTTTAGAAGAACAAGATGGGAGGAAACTTGAATCCAAATCGACTTCCAGCTCCAATCCAAACCCACTAGCAGGAAACTAGGCGATAAATAGGAATTTTTTCAGAAGATTACCCTGCTCCAGATTCCTCGATGAAGAACTCCATGCCTTCCATGGCGAGAATCAGCAATCACCCAGGTTTTTTTTTGAAGGCAAACTAGGGATTTTATTCAAAGTTCACAACGTCTGGGATACACGCAATCTCCGAAAGAACCCCTAGCCACACATGGCGACCCACTGCGAGAGACGCAGCTCCCTTGACAAGCAAGTGGGCCTCAAAATTATTATCTCTACTTTCTAAACAAAAATCAACAGAAGAAAAGGCATTACAGCTTGTGTGGATCTCACGAAGGATAGGAGCATAAGCAGGAACCCCCGGCGATCTAATGTTTGAAATCACTTCAGCACAATCCGTGGCAATGGTGAGATCCTGAAGATTTAAATCCCGGTCTAGAGCTAGTGCTTCGCTGCATGCATGAGCTTCGAGACTTGCCGGGTCAGTGAGGCCATCGAAAACCGTTGCAGAAGCACCAAGAAACTTGCCAAATCTGTCACGACACACAACTCCTGCTGCTCCTTTGTCTCCTAAGGTTGACAACCCCCCATCACAATTTAACTTTGAGGACTCGCCCTGGGGTGGTAGCCACATCTTTGCTCGTTGCCGGTTCACTCGTATGACAGCAGTCGAGGGTTTTATCGTGTTCGCTAACTCCAGCTCCTCCAGAAATCTGTTTACGAACGACATAGTGGAGAGCGGGCTCTGAAACTCCTCTTCGTGTATAGCTTTCCTCCTGGCCCACCAGATCGCCCACATGGTCACTAGAATTCGAGCTAGGTCTCGTTGGTTTGTGTTCTCAAACAGCCAGAACAGCCATAGTCTCGCATCTTCGGTTTGATTTGATATCATATGCTCAACCAACTCATCATCCTCCAGAGCCCAAACACACCTTGCCATGCGGCAACTCAAAAGCGAGTGGCGCCATGTATCCTCCATTGCTCCGCATATAGAGCAGGCGGGGGACTCTGCCATATGTCTTTCATGTCTCACCAGGCCGGTAGGGATAGAAGTATGCGCCAACCGTCATACAAAAACTCTTATCTTTGATGGGACCTTCACCTTCCATAGCTGAGACCATGAGTTTTTGTCCGCCGCAACGTTAGAATGACCCGGGCGATGCACAAGCCAATCCTCTCGTTGTGTTTTGATGGCGCAAATCATCCTGTAAGCTGGCCGGACCGAAAAGATCCCTCTCTTGTCGTAGTGCCACGCCCAAAAGTCCTCCTGTTGCCTGGTACTGAGCGGTATGTTGAGAATCGCTTCTACATCAGCAGGGATGAAATGCTCAGATAAAACTGTTGAAACGTTTGACTCTCCACCTATATCTGTGTGGGTGATGTAAAGGTGGGCCGGACATCCCGACCTCACAACCTTCCCTCTTTTCCTCTTCTTCACGATGCCTTTTGGGTTCTGCACATCATATGTCTCCTCCTTGTTTGTTTTTGGCTTGCCATATTTCCCACAAACCAAGAGGATTATGCTTACAGTGTCGTCTTTAATTGTTTTTCTGTATTCCAGCCTCATCCCAAACCCATGTCTGAGTGCATATTGCATGTAGTGATCATAAGCTTCCTCATAAGTATCAAACTTCATCGTTTCATCAGGAGGCTTCGGTGTGCAGTATGCCTTGGTGTTTTTGTCTCCCTGATCAGCATTTTCTCCTCCTGTTTCTGGACTCGTTGGCTCGCTGACTGAATGATCAAAGAAGCTTTCCCTCCCCCCTATGCTGCTAGTTGTCGGTTCTTTGCTTGTCTCTCGGACCATTGGGTTGCTTATAGATGTAGCCCATGTACTGCTTTCGAAGTTGTTAGTTTGTGTTATATTTCTGCATGCCAAAACTTGTGGTAACTGGTACTCCACTTGCCTGGTAAAGTTTGCATGCAGTAAGATGTTTTTGTAGTTGTAAACTGAAAGCATGTAATTGTGATACAGATTGCATGATAATTCGTCTGTAGTAAGTGTGGTAATTGTACATAAATTCATGGTAACTTGTGTTGCATTAAGCTTGGTGATTGTGAACTGATGCATGGTGAATGTGGTAGTTGTAAATAACATAGTTGGTAATTGCAATTCAAGTATGATGGTAACAAGTCCGTGAATAAAAATGTGGTACCATGGTAAATGTTTAACCTTCGTCTGTTTTGTTGATGTTTGCAGAACCAAAGCTTGTCCTGTGTGCATATTCACACTGTTGGTTTGTCCCCACACCACTCATCGTGATTTCCACATTACCCCTGTTGTCATGCTCCATTTTTTTGTGTTGCAGCACCTGCTAGCATATATAATTGCATCCATCAATTCCACACTTACAAGCAATTTTGATTATTTTTTCACAACAACTATAATTTTTCTTTTTCTGCACTGATTACTTCTTTTTTATAATAGGTATCATTTTTGGGAGTAACCAGTGTATGGGAGTACGATAGCGATAGTTCCTATCAACCTCATTTCATCAACATCATTTCTTATCAAAAATTTCTGGTGGCAACAATGTAAATCAACACATGGTATTCTTGTAGTGTTTTAGCACCTTTGGTTCTGAGTTTTCCTGGTAAATTGTAATGAATTAGCATGATAACTTGTTCTGTCATGGGTTTGTTCAATAGAAAAAGGATCTTTTTTATGTTGAATAAGTGTTAAAGGATGCTGATTACTCAATGCACACACTTTGGTAATCTATATTGACGCGAAATGGTAACTCAGTTATTGATGAGAGTTCTAACATGCTTCAAAAAAGATAGCTTAATAGATTGTTGATGATAACCTATATGGATTTATGATGGTGACTCAACGATGAGGTAACTCAATGATGTAATCTGTAGGTAGGAACATGGATTAATTTTACCAACCTTTTGGCTTTAAAAAGGCAAATTTATTCAATCTTTGTTGATAACCTGACTGAATTTGAACGGTAACTCAATTACAACGGAGGTATTACACACATGCAGTAAAAGGGCTACCTTTTTCTGCATCTTTTTGGCTTTGTTCTCTAGTTCTTGTTGTCCTTTTCCAATGTATTTTTTTCCTTGATTTTGTTGGTATGAAATGTAAATGCAGCATGTGTATAGAGGTTGAATCACTTACCTGCTTGATTTTTTTGCCTGATTATGGCGAAATTCAGACAAACTGGGGTACTTGTTCCCGCAGCTTGTGGTAACCCTTGTGATGTTGATGTGGTACACCAGGCCCCTCTCTCAAATCCTTGTGTTTGGTAGTGTTTTTCATGGGTTCTTTTGGTGGATCAGATCTGGGGCGCAGGTCGTCGGCGATGGAGGCGCGTCGGGGAGAGAGGAGAACAGATCGGGGCAGGTGGTTGTTTCTTGCGATAGAGGTAAGAAACTAGGTTTTGTGGTGGTAAGTCACGTGTGGGGGGAGGTGGGACAGAGGGGCTATGTTTATTGTCTTGGGCCTCATGCGCTGCCGACTGGTGGTTAGTCGCGTCCATAAAATTTATATAGTTCTCATATATTGAATAAATAAAAAAATATTTTCAATTTAGTTTTTTCTAATATTATCAGCAACAAGAGTAGAGAATTCATTAGGTTGAATGATGCAAAAATCATTGATGTGGAGGTGACCGTGGGGTAAGTACGATTTTTGACAATGGTTCTATAGTGGCATACAGATATTTGACGATAATGGCATCACACTTTGAATGGTATGGAAGTTTATTTAACTTCGGGAAGATTTCAATGTGATCAGAAGTTAATATTTTCTTTAACAATATTTTTATACCTTTTTTTGTTAAATTATAATTATTTACAGTGTCATAATTCAGCATATGTATAAGTCTAAGTTTTTTTTTTGTTTCGCGATAGATAATGGTCCTTTCGTTAACTCCGGTTTAGTAGTGTTGAGTTTTTTTTTAATATATGAGAGAATGCGGCAGACCAATTTTGTTGAAGTCAAAATAATTATATACTTTCTTTGTTTAAAAAATAATTAAGTTATCATATTTGCATTTTTACCATTATAATTTGATAAGTTTGTAATTGATAGAAATCAATATTATGAATTATTTTTTATCAAAAATATACTAATACTATTTGCATATAAGTAACCTATAAACTCCTGAAGACCACAAACTATTCCCGCAACAAAAGACCACAAACTATATTTTTTCGCCTTTTCTTTTTTGTTATGTGGTGGTTTGCCTGGTCCAATATTGAAAGACTCAGCACGAACGGTAGAGAGCACATTCCCAGCACGGGCACAGCAGTCAGTATGCTGGGTTGGATCTTGGATGTAGCCAATGGTGTAGGATGCGTCGAGTAAGTCTTCTTCCACATCAAGATCAAAGTTCATCGTCACACAGGTCAAGTTTGTCCATCAGATCATCAAGCAGATGCTTCTTCCGGCCAGAACAGATGACCCCTCTGTCTCAGATTGGACGTCTGAAATCGCAATCTAGGTTCTGTTAACGGTCACTGAGGCCAGCTGAAGCAGATCACATCACATACAAAGGCCCAGAACCAGTACAGACACTACCCGTTAATCTGTCCAAGTAAAACCATGGTGCAAAGTAAAACCATGGCTGCACCGAAAGAAAACTCCGGCGGAAAGAAACCCTAGCTGGAGAAACTTCAATCCGATAACTGAAAGCAAGACATGGCGGCACTAAATACTTCCACTCAAAGGTACAGTCGGGCTACGTTGACCCTCTAGCTTCCTTGGAGAACACGGCTCCATAAGGTATTTGGTAGCCGCATCATATCATCACAACCGAAAGAAGAGACAAGACAGAATCGATTGGTTACAGAGAGAAACAGCACAAAAAACCAGCGTGCCCCCCTCACTGATGCAGGGTATCCGCTGGTTGTATCAACAATTCAACACATTGTTGATATTTACACATGAATTTCTTCGCCATGCATGCTCAACCCACTACAACATCACTACATCACACCAGGATTCAGAAGTCATTGTTTAGTACACAGGGTTTACCAGGCTACGACATGACATCACGAGTTCTTCTCCTCGTTCGCGCTGATCACAGAAGTACACGTTAGTGTGTCTAACAGAAAGACTGACAATGAAGAGAAAAAATGACAACAGCAACAGAGTTGAGTGGAACTGAATGATCAATGTCAAAGAGAAATAATGCAAACAAAGTGGAGTTGTTCAGTTTCACTCACGACTGTTCTATGTCACCAGGCGATTGTCCTCCAGCACTGGCATTCTTGTCCCCAACAGCTGATTGTCCACCAGCACTAGCATTCTTGTCCTCGACAGCTGATTGATCGCTAGCACCAGCATTCTTATCCTCGACCGCTGATTGTTCACCAGCACTTACATTCTTATCCCCAACAGCTGATTGTTCACCAGCACTGGCATTCTTGCCATGGTCAATTGGCTTCTTGAACTGCACTAGGATCATCGTCATGTTGTCGCATCCTTCTCCACCTAATGTTGATGGAGCCAGGCATCTATCGAGCACCTTTTCACACACTGCAGAAAGGCTGCTCTCCTGCATTTGTTTCATCCCTTAAGTGCTGCTGAAGACCATGTTATCCATACAAGTATAACTTTACAGAAGTAACTCGGCACTCACGGTCTTTAGGTGCTCATGGATGAAATCGACCAGCTGTTGGCTCGACATGCAGTCCCTGTTTATCATCAGAGCGTATGGTCATTATTTTACTTATGAAAACAACTGTCATGTTGAAGGCTCATAGCTAATAATTTAAACAAAGTAGGAATTTGGGATATGAGAAAACTTGAAGCTTCCGTTGAATGTTTAAGGAGATAGAACAAATAAAGCAAATACAATTATGGAACCCTACTAAGAGAGGGATTTACCAAATGCCATCACATGCTAAAACAAGAAAGTCATCATCATCACAAAGCTCGACCTACAAAAATATTTAAATCATATGAACTACCAGCAACAAGAAAATGGTAGCCATCGATTAGCTGCAGGAGTTAAAGTAATGACAGAAGCTGAACTGCTTACAGTGTTTACGTCAGGGTTTGCTGTCAACATTTGCTTATCAGGGGACAAGAATTTATTCTGTTTAAATTCCATATCTCCTGCAAAAGTATTAGCATATATTAGCAATCATCTAAGGTGCATGATATGAACAAAAGAAAAGGTAAAATGTAGTACCAATTGCTCTTGACAAGTTTATAGTTCCATTTACTCGTCCCATTTGGATGTAACCCCCTGCTTTCAATATCCGTTCTCTCTCTGCTTCAAGCTCTGGTTTGTGATCTCTTGATAAATTGTATGCCTATAGTATATTCAACCAGATAATGAGATGCTCCTGTGTATAACTTCACATGTTAAACATACTGCAAGGATAAGCATTACAGACCTGGCCATTCCTTGAGATAACACACCGGGAATCTCCGGCGTTTGCCACAACAAGTTGACTATTCCTTATCATTGCAACACAGGCTGTACTTCCGCAGGTTGGCCCGCTAAAATCAGAGTGAGGTCCCTGTTAAAACAATCCTGTAAGCGTAAGGCTGCCTGTGTAGCCCAAATCATAAAATGCAACAGTACTACAGAGGAATGCCGAAATACTGGCAGAACAACTACAAGAATACAACATTTGAAATTGAATTAAGGCCAGTTCTTTTGGGGCTTATGTCTGTCTGTGGAAATAAGCTGCCCCCTCCCCAGCTTATTCTAGAAGCCCAACCTAACATTTTATTCTAGAAGCCTACTAATTAAGGGTTAACTAGTAGACAACCTAAAACAAAATTTTAGGTTGAACTTCTAGCATAAGATGGGAGGAGGCACCTCATTTCCACAGCCAGCCATAAGCCCCAAAAGAACTGGCAATAAACCTCAGTTTAAATTTTTCTTCATATACTACCTCATATTTGCAACTTGAACAATTACTGACGTCAGTACATAAACTATCTAGTCAAGAACCGTACACATATTACACATGATTAAGGAGAGTGAATGTTCTACTCTCGGATGTTTGCAAAAAACTGAAAAAACGTGATCAAACCAAATCCAAAAAAATCGAAAATTTGAGACATCAAACTTTATCAAATGTTCGAGCATCTTGCACAATTTCTGCCAAAAATAACATCCAAGGAGCTCCCACTGAAAAAAACAAAATCAATGTTCAAAGTTTTGTGCACTTTTTGAGAATTGATTTTTTTTTTAGTGAGAGCTCCACGGATGTTATTTCTGGCTGAAAATTTGCAAGAAGCTTGAACATTTGAAAGGTTTGCTGTTTCAAATTTTCAGATTTTTTGGATTTGGTTTGATCACGTTTTTTTCAGTCTTCTGCAAGTTCGGGTGTAGTACACCTGAGAGTAGTGGCTTCTTTCCGGTGATTAAGGCATGAATGGTTTAGCAAGAAAAGGCTTTAAATGGAAAATAAGTCACCTGGACTTCACAAAACAATTTTAAGAGCTACACCAAATTACTTTGCAATGCAGATTACTTATCCTACAAAGAGTAGTTGATCATGTGGTTCATGTAAGTTGCACCGTTACCTCCTCAAAAGCCCAATCATCATGTCGATCATTTGAATCACTGCCTCTCGGAGACCAGATCAGCCCTTCTATCATGCCAGTAAACTGGTTTATTTTATCTCCAAGTGCCTGTAGTTCTCGCCAGCCTCTTTGACCCCGCATCATCTCATCCATTCTGAATCAACAAATCATAATTACTGTGAAGTCATCCTAGGAAGAAACTCTCAGTAGAGGATAAATGGAAAAGTACTCAAGCTGGCTACCTAACAGTTTGCTATACCTGAAGAAAGCTCCATGGACAGCAGCTCCCAGGTCACCAGCTAAATAAACTTCACTTTTGAGAACTTCCCTGTGTAGATATTTTGCACAGAATTTGGCAACCACTTTTCCTGAGGCAAGAATGTGATATGATGATGTAAATGGACACTTTGACATGATGTGGATAAGATCATGAGCAATGAAAAGGCACTAGTCTTCGCAAGTAACCTTACCTCCATGTCCATCAAAAACACCGAAGAATGATGTGCCCTCATCGATATCTAGCAAGGCTGAATGCTGGAACATTGCTCAAAGGGTTAGAGACTTCAGAATGAAGTGAAAGTATACAACTATAGCAAAATAAAAATTGATAAAATACCAGTGCCTCGATTTTATTAGCGCTATGCTACAGCTTCAAGTAACTAAGGATCATAGCGTCTAATTTGTTGATATTTGTCATTGTGTTTAGTGTTGGTTCTAGCGTATGCTTGTTTTTTTGTATAATATTCTTCAAAGGTTTTTTTACAAGCAGGGGCTCAGCCCAGGCTCTGTTGCAATAACAAAACCAAAAGTATTCTCCAAAAGCTATTCGGTACATAATGCCAAAGTTGATCATTTTTGGCAGAGTCATGTCAACACCAGATCAAGTTTGCAAGAAGAGAAACCAAACAATCAAATGTCACCATTCAACTCATGGTTTTGCTACATTCAAAATTCAAAGATATAAGTGATAAGACACCACTTCTCTGTTCTGTCATGTGCACAGATTTGCTAAACATACCAATTAACAACAAATAAGCATTTGGGTATGTATACCTAGTATCCCTGTCCACAGTTCCCCAACCTACCTTAGTGTCAGCTATACTTCTGATTTCTGAATATAACAAACTAGACTCACCACGTGTATGGTAGGAATTCTACATCTGTACATTTCCAAAACTTCCTAAAAGCTTTCATCAAGCAGCATCAAACAGTGATGAATAGAAACTCACAGCATCTTCCATACTCGCACGCCACCCTTGCATAGATGAAAGTCCAAATTTAAGTTGATCATTTTCCCCGTCTTCAGATAGCTTCTCAGTTTTGGGGGTACTAAGGTAAACTCCCATCTTTGCGAATGCACCTGACAGAAGAATGTGTTAATAGTAAAGTAAATCCACAGCATACTGCCAAGCTTTCGGGGTTTTAACAGAGCGGCAACATACCAGGTCCAGAATTAATAAGGTTGGAAACAGATTACAGACGTAACTTCAGTAACTACTGCGCAAATCAGGAAAGAGGTCATTAGTAAAGATTGCTATAATGAACTATATAACATTATGCTATATGACAGAAATTTAGAAAGTTGTACTCGTACCTCACAATGTTGCGGATAACAGCGTAGCGCACGTCCGATAATGGCTACACCAAGTAGCTCCAGTGCTTCTTCTTAACATGCCAATACGTGCACCAGTATATCCTATCTCTCAAGGCCCCTTGGTCGTCAATATGCTCTGCACGACATGAAAAGGAAGGAAAATGAGAGCACAGCAGCAGAGCCGGCGATGCTTTCCAAACATGTGCATTCAATACAGTAAACATGCAGCTCTCCAATCTCTGCGTATAACTAAAGCATCACAATTCACAAGCCTCCATACGCATAGCCATATGCTGATCACCCGCCCTGTTCTTGTAACAAAACCAGCCCAATCTCGTAGAAACATGTAATCATTATCATGTGGCCTAATAATAAACTAAAAAACCGTCCTATGTCGGTGTTCACTGAAGCAGCACGGAAAAGTCCACCCCCACTGAGGTCAACGACAGGCTTCTCTTGCCGCGTGCGCCATTGGAGAGACACGCTACGCAGCACCCACTGCTTAATCGGCTCGAGCTGCAGCAGGCAGCAGCAGGTTCCTGAAGACCGGAGTAAGCTACAGTAGCACAGACTACAGAGAGCAGGCGGGGAAAGCTCCGTCCGGCGCTGCAACTAGTCCAAAAAAATAAAACTAAACTCTGCACACGCTAAATTGAGCTTGACAGCTACGGGGAGCTCTACCCCCAAACACGGGTAAGCGGGCCGGCCGGACTGGCGGCGGGATCTCGCGTCACCTAGCCACGAAATTCGGAAGGCTGGAGCGACGCGACGGGAGAGGGATCGGCGGCGAGTACCTTGGCGCTCGGGCGGCGGCCGGGGAGATCCGGGAGGAGGCGGACGGGCGCCGAGGGGTTTCGGCTGGGACGGACGAGGGGTCGCGGCGGCGGCGGCGAATTCTCTGCGATCGCCGGGAGGAGGAGGAGGGGAGTGAGGACGGACGGAAGGAAGGAAGGAAGGAAGGATTGATTGGAGTGTGGGCTGTCAGCTGACAGTGTGAACGGGATGGGGATCGGGAGTGGGGGGTGGGTCAGCGGCCGGCGCGGCCGCAGCGTTTTCTTGTGCGGGGGGCTCGGCTCGCTCGCACGTGACGTCACCGCCCGCTCGGCGCCGCGGTTTCTGGCCTGCGGAATTGATTTGTGTTCCCGTGAGCCCGTGACGTGACGTGACGTTGTGTGCGGTGCGTAGCGTCAAGTGGTGGCGGCACGACTTTTCTCCCTTCCGGATGGATAAGAGCGGGGAAATTCCCGGAAAAAGAAGGCGGTCGGGGAGGGAGAAAGGTGGTCCGTCCGTCCACTCCCGCTTGCTCGATCAAGCAGCGCCGCGATCGGTACGTGCACACTCCTCCGGCACGGTGCGACGTCTTGGACTTGGTCCGGGGACTCGTGCGAGGCGTTCGAGGGAGTCCACGAGGCGGCAGAGTCGACAGCGAGGGCGGACTCTTTTGCCCGCTCGTACGAGAAACACGGAGGGGAACGCAGAGCTGCGACAGCGACAGCGACGGCGACGGAGTCGTGTCCATTTCCTGCTCGTCCGTCCGCAGGCTGTGAGAACATCTACATCCATCCGGCTCCTCCAACGCTTCCTATACGTCCGGATGGCGCCCCGGTCAATCAATCAGTGGTCACAAATCTCGGCAAGTCGCACTCCGCGTACCGGCCCTATATGTATGGGCTGGCCGGCACGGGCTAGCTTATACCTCGCTCGACGCGAGTTCGATGGTAGCCTCGCGTGAAGCGAGCACCATACTGAGCCGACCTATGCACGTGGGAGTCCACTTTCTTTGTTTTTTGTCTTCTTTTTTTTCATGTTCTTTTCTTGTTCTTATTTCTGTTTTTTACTTTTATTTATATTCCCAAATATTTTAAATATATATATATATACATATTATAGAAATATGCTTTACATACATTTTGAAATGCTAATCATGCATTTAAAAAAGGTAAAATGTGTATACAAATATTTCCATTGTATACAAAAGGTGTACAAAATGTATAATGTGTATGGAAAAATAGAACTAAAAAATCAGTCTCTAAAAATGTAATTATTTATTTGAACATGTATACACAAAATATCCTAATGTACACAAAAAAAATGTGTAACGCTTCGTTGGGATGTCTCCATTGGAGAGCTCCGAATTGAATTGGTCTGAATTCCAAATCAGTGAGGAAATTGAAATGGCACGAATACAGATTCACCTGTTTGGCTGTCCACTGGATTAGCCCTTGAAATGCCTCTGAGATTTCAATACCAAATCTTGTTTGGATGACCAACTTTGGAATTCGCTACATGACCAACTTTGGAGTTCACAAATCTGCAGAATACACGAACACAAACTTGGTTAATAACAGAGAACAGAAAAACCAAGTTACGGGTACAAGATAGTAGTTGGGCGCCATGGGCTGGTCCGCTGGTGTAGGAAAGGAGATGGGTACCGGGGGTGGGCGCGGCGGACAGGGAGAAGGCCCGAGGTGGAGCGCACGTGGCCAGAGGAGACCTGCGCTCCTGTCGTCGCAGCCCTGCTGGTGGTCGCCGTGGTCCTCTGGACACCAACAAGATGCGACCTAGACCGGGGACGGGGATAGGGTGAGAAGGACGGGACGAGGCAGAAGCGAGCCAGGGAACCGGCGCCTGCGTCGTCGCCGTCCTGCTGGTGCTCGCCGGCGAGGTCCTCGTGCTGGCCGCCGAGATGCGCGAGGACGGCGATGGGAACAGGACAAGGGAGCGGGGAAGGAGATGGGTAGAGGAGCAGGGAGCGGGGCCGAATGGAACTTGGGGGTGGCCGCCGCGGTCCTGCTGGTGCCCGCCGGCGAGGTCCTCGTACTGGCCGCTGAGA